CTGTCAGAATACTTTCTAGTTGGACATAGTTTTATTATTGCTACTTCTTATCGGCCTTATTAATGTCTTTGTTATATTTTTTTTATAATGATTTCATTACATGAATACTTTATTTGGATGATTGCTGTGAGAATGATGAACTTTTTAGGTAATTTAACATGAATACTTTATTTAGATTGTTCATTTCTATAAGAAGAAGAAACATCTAAACTTATAGGCTCAAAATCGAAAATTCGAAATATCCAAACCGATTAATCCAAAATCGAACGTAAAAAATCCGATCCAATCCAAGCTTATTAAATTAGATTTGATTTGCCATTTATTTAATCCAAAAATCGAATATCCAAACCGAAATTTTCATATTCAATTTCAAATGCCCGAGGGCCCACTCCTATCCGTATTTCAACATGGATTCCGTTTTTTTTTTCTTTCTTTTCCATCTTTTTGGGGAGATCCCACAAGATGAGAAATTAATTAACATCAAATAAAAAAAAAAAAAAGACATTGTGACTGGAAATGGATCAATTTCCTATGAAACGATTGCGTGGCGACCTTTTAGAGTTCCAAAGCTGATAATTTATTTCCCAAGTTATATTTGTTGCGGCACCTACCTGGCATTCAACTTTTCACCCTAGTATTTATTTGTTCTTATTAAAAAGAAAAGAAAAGAATACTACTATATATTGGTTTTCTAAGAATGAAGTCTAATCATATCTTACTATACCTCTATTATTATTAAGGACATGGAAGACCATGGTTCATTTTTATTGAGAGCTTCCTATTTTTTCATTGTAGATGCCTCAACGATTACGTTGTTGATGAAGAAAAACCCCTCATAAAGCTTAACATATAACTTTTTAAATATTTAATAATTAAGAAAAAGATCTAGAGATAAAACGTAATTTCCTATGAATAATTGCAAGAATTTGAACCCTAAATTAAAGCAATGTTTTAAAAGGCGAGGGCGTGAGGCGAGGCGTTTTACCTCTAACGAGGCGAGGCGTAAGCCCTGAGACATGGGGCGTAAGTCCCACGGATCTTTAAATTTTACTAATTTCAAGAATTTTAAGATAGTATAAAATAAAAAATAATTGTAAAAATTACATTAAAATCATAAAATTATAACAACTAATCTAATTAAAAGACTTATAAATTATAATTTGACTATGAATAATACGAAAAGTATGACATATATATCATGATATGCAAATTAGCTGCAACGTCGTGCATCTTAAACAACAAAAGTAATGCATTTGATACGAAATCTTATATGTATCTCTTAATGAGTAATGAATCTTGAAAGAATTTTGATATTATAATTTGATACTTTTTTAAAATACTCATTTTATTTAATATGCTTTCAATTTGAAAGAGAATGTATATAAAAACATAATTCACAATTTAAATATGGTTCTCTAGCATCATTTGTTTTTAAGTTTCAACAAGTTAATAAAGTAACACATAATTCACCATACTATACCATGATAGCTAATTATTTGTAAATAGTTGTGCTAGCTAATACTGAGCTATTAAATTAGTGAATATTGTATCTCGTAAATGTGAAAAAAATAATATTTAGGAAAATAATTATAAAAAAAATATGAACTATTATACAATAAAGACATAACAAAAGTCAATAAATAAATACTTTTTAAATGAAAGATTTATTTAAAGTTTACTATCATAGCAGTCTTAATAGATAACGTGCAATAATTTTATTTTAATTATGACATAAAATACTCTCAACTTAATAATTTATGATGAAGAAAAAAAGTATACAAGGTTAGTTACAAACAATTGCATAAAATTCTATTAGGCTAGTCCAGTATGCTGGGCGTTGGGCGTGTCCAGGGCGTAAGTCCTGATGGCCGAGGCGTAAGTCTCATGAAACTAAGTCTTACATATAAGCTCAGGGGCGTTTTAAGAGTGCTCCGTCCCGGGACGAGCCCCGGGTGAGTCCCAATTCTGCATCGTAAAACAGAGAACTAAAGGACCAGGTCAAATTTATGAGGGATAAATTAGGTGGCTACCCTGCCCATCCATCCTCGATCTCAACATGAAAAGCATGACGGAATCGACGGTGGTCAGTCTTCCTTCTTTGGCATATCGATTGGGAGCATGAAAATAAGACTAGAAGAGGGCTCAGGTGATAGCAATGTTATGAAATTTCAAACCTTTATTTAATTTGACTAATCATAAATGAAATATTTATTGTTTCACTTGAAAGATTTTATTACAAACACAATATAGAGGAAAAGAGAGATAATCACCATTACGTGATGAGAGAAAAGGAGAAAGAACAAAAATTAGACAGATAAAAATAACGTACTATTATTCTTTATAATTTTTATAATATTTATAAGAATTTTAACTTTTCTTCATTTTTAGAGAATCATTTAAAAATGGTGAGAACTATTAGATTTCGTCTTGGGTCTTCTGATCATTAGTATGTCAAGTATTTGATAATGGGTTGGTTGATTTAAAGGAATCTACCTTGGAATTATTGTTGAGAAATTAAAAAATAATACTACTAGAAATGATGGGAAGTTAGATTAAATAAAAGGAAAAAGGAGCTAGCTCCAATCATTTATTGATGAACAAAATTAGTTGGAGGGACATGGTGAGTGATAAATAGATTTTATTTAACATTTGTAGTTTATTCAAGTTCACAACCTTTTTTTAATTATTACCATTATTATTTAATGCAAATTCACAACTAAGACACAGTCAAGTCTCCTCTGTCTTATAGTTCAACTTTGTCCACATGGCTTAGAGCAGCATAGTTTCTCTCCTTACATCCATGTGATAGCTGCTGACTCAGCAGATATCCACGTCACCTGCAACTTGACACGTGGCCAGTCATTTGCATCATTCCAAAACCAGCTTTATTTTTTCTTCCTTTTATAAAAAGGGATAAAAGACATGCTTTTTCATTAACTAATAATTTTCTTACTTAAGCCATTATTGATTAGTGCTAAACATGGTTATGACAGTTAGGATAGCATTTATCACTGATTAATTAACTTTTGGAAACGTATGCAGAAATGATGAACACCATATCCCCTTTGGGATCGTTTGGTAGGGTATATAAGAATAGTGCGGAATAAGGTGTATTAGTAATGCATGGGTTAGTAATGCAAGCATTAGTTATATACTAATGCATGCATTAATAGCCTTGGTATTACTAATGTCATGGTTTTGCTATGCATTACTTATACATAGGATAATACCAAATATGATGTATAATTAATACAAGTATCAGTTATATATAAGTTGAAAAAATGTATCAAACAAGGTATTAGTAATGCACAGAGCTAATGCTTGCATTATTTTTTCTAATACCTCCTACCAAACGACCCCTTAACAATCTTTCGTAGCTTAATTAGGTTGTTTTATTACTCTCGTAGTACATATTATGGAAGACCATTTTGGGAAAGTTGGATAGTTTCCCTGTCTAAGTTGTATTGCAAAATGTATATGACGAGAAAGAGGGTGAGTTATCAGATGGTTATAGGGATTTTGTGTTTTACGGTCTAGCTCTAGAGTCCAAATGAGTTAGCGGTATCGTACATATCTATATTTAGTTAAACAAAATTTTGCCTGTTTAACCCAAAAAAATATATACTCCATGTGTTTTATGCTTTTTTTTTTTTTTTGGGTAACTTGTTTTATGTGTTAGGAATTTATAGTCTCTTCTAGATACTTTTAGTGTGGCCCACATATTAGGTAATAAATTATTTACCTTGTCTCCCAAGAAAATAATAATCAGATAATATTCTGTAGGTATGCATATATGGTAGTTTCTTTGATAGAAAGACACAATTTTTATTAGGAGTCCATATGACAATTATAATTTATGGAGAAGTTCCTAGGGCTAAACTATTTGCCTAAAAGTCCTTAGCCTACCTATAAATACGTTTGTGATTCCATCATTCTGGCATCAAACGATAGGCACATGCTAGAAGACTCCCTAGGTTCTCTGCTAAAATTTCATAGGTGATTCCTATTGAGATAGTGTATTTATTATGTTAATAGTTTGTTAATAGCTAGTTAATTGTGTATTAGTTAGCTGACATTGGTCATTTTATAATATACACGTGTAACATGTATATATATACTCAGTTGATAGTCTAATACAATTCAGTTAGTTCATTTCACATAACCGACCTTCTCTTTTCTCTGTTTCTCTTCGAGAACCTTCTAGGTTTCCTCCATTGGAGCTCAAGCTTGAGCTCTGCTCCTCCGTTACTCTCATTGTTTTATATGGTATCAGAGCAAGGTATTCTACTCGCTATTCTCTTCAATCTCTTTCTCAATTTTTTTTGGATTCTAAAGATACAGTAACCGTCTCCATTTTCGTCCCAATTTTCTCGATCCGACATTTTCCTCTTCTCGCTTCATTTTTGACAAATTGACACTATTTCTCATGGCTATCCTTGATCCAAACAATGATTTTGGAGTTGAATCAAGTCATTCAACCCACGTCGCCGCTACTGACCCCGGAGTCAATCCAAGCTGCCCATTTTACATGCATCCATCGGATAATCCTGGTGCGATGTTGGTGACAGCTCCGTTCAACGGCGTCGGATACCGATCTTGGAGAAGGAGCGTCCTCAGAGCTTTTTTCAATCAAAAATAAAGTAGGATTCATCACTGGTGAGTACAAGCGACCAGATCTAGATTCTCCACAATTTTGTCAGTGGGAAAGGTGCGACGATATGGTAACCTCATAGATCCTGGATTCTCTGTGCAAGGAAATTGCTGATAGTGTCGAGTACGCTAACAATGCTTTTGAACTTTGGAGGGAATTGGAAGATAGGTACGACCAGACTAATGGCACTAAGTTGTATCAAATCCAAAAGGAAATCAACGATTTAGCTCAGGGAGTCCTCAATGTTACCGGATATTACACGAAAATTAAGAAGCTCTGGGAGGAATTAAGCATGATAAATGCTAAGTCATAATGTAGTTGTTAGTGCACTTGTGGGGATAAGGAGAATATGCACAAGGCTGAACAAGATAGAAGACTTATTCAGTTCCTCATGGGATTAAACGAAGTGTATACCACAGTGCGAGGTAGTATACTCATGATGAATCCACTGCCTTCCATGGCACATGCCTTCTCTTTGCTCATTCAGGAAGAAAAGCAACGAGAAGTGAAGCCACATAATCAACTCATGCTCGATTCTGCTTCTTTGAATGTTAATGTACCTTCGTACAATAATTTCAACAACAGAGCACCTATGAATAACAACTTCAGAACCAATTATTCCCCAAACAATCATCCTTCCACAAGTGCCAGACTACGTCATTTCTGTGATCACTGCAAACGTATTGGCCACACCAAAGACAAGTGCTTCAAGCTCCATGGCTATCCACAAGATTTTAATCAGAATCCTAAGTATAATAAAGGCAAAAGGACCACTGCTAATGTACACACTACTCCAATCGATACATTCTGCATGAAAGGTGAAGAAACACAAACTCAAGGTAGCAACTCCAATGTGAGTCTCACCAGAGAGCAGTATGATCGGTTGGTGACTTTGCTTCAACACTTTCAGACCAGCACTGGAGGTGATAACTCAGACAACAATGTTACTGGTGGAGCTGTGAACTTTGCAGGTATTTTTGCTTGTTCAGCTTTTGTTCTCTCTGTTGATTTTGGCCTGCTCTCATGTAAATGCTTTAAATCAAGGGCTGACATTTGGATCCTAGACTCTGGGCCTCTAACCATATGACCTTTAACAAATCCTTACTTACTCACATTAATACCTTAGTGTATCCTATGTTAATTACACTACCAAATGGCTATAGAGTCAAAGTTATAGAAATTGGAACTGTTACATTAGCACCAAATATATTGTTCTGCATAGAGTCCTCTATGTTCCATCCTTCAAATACAATCTTATATCAATTCACTCTTTAGCTTCTCATCTTAAAGGTTTGGTTGATTTCTCTGACTTTCTTTGTCTACTGCAGGCCCCTTCAATGAAGAGGCCTCTGGAGATTGGTAAGGTCAAGGATGGCTTGTACCTCCTGTGTTTGAGTTGTCTAAAGAATTCATGCTCTACTTCACATGTCTCTTTACCTGTTTCTTGTTCTGTTTTGTCTAAACCTTCTGATGTATATAGTTTGCACTGTCAACATCCTGAATCATCTGTAGATGTTCCCATTTTCCATTCACAATTAGTTGTAAATAACTCCATCAGTAATAAAACTCAATGCATTTCCTCACATTCTCTCTTGTCTGATAAGAATCAAGATGACTTGCTGTGGCATTACAGATTTATCCTCCATCCCTATTCAGTTCTCAACTAAACAGCCTTTCCTCTGCTCCATTTGTCCTATGGCTAGACAACCTAGACTTGCTTTTCCTCACAAGACTAGTACTATCACTTCCATTTTTGAGCTTCTTCATGTAGACCTCTGGGGACCCTACCACATTGCTACTCGTGATAACTACAAATATTTCTTCACCTTGTGGATGATCATAGCAGGGCCACTTGGACCCACCTCTTAAGTAGTAAAAGCAATGTCTTACAAGTCATCAAGAGCTTCATATCCTTAGTTGAAACTCATTTTAAATCCAGTGTCAAGTGTCTCAGATCAGATAATGGTTCAGAATTTATCAATATGGAAACCTTATCATGTTTTCAGTCCAAGGGGATAGTTCATAAAAAAACATGCCCCTACACTCCTCAACAAAATGGAGTTGTAGAAAGGAAGCATAAATACCTCTTGGAGACTACCAGGACACTCTTTTTCCAGTCCAAATTGCCCTTGCAATATTGGGGTGAATGTCTATTGGCTGCAACCCATATTATAAATAGACTTCCCACTACTTATCTAAAAAATAAATTCCCAATTGAGATCCTCTATAACAAAGCACCAACCTATTCCCACTTGAGAAGTTTTGGATGCTTGTGGTTTCCTACTATACCCAAAGTTCATAGAGATAAGTTTGAGCCTAGGACAACTCCTCATGTCTTTGTGGGGTACCCCTATGAGACTAAAGGGTACAAAGTTCTGAATCTGGCCACCAGAAAAATTCATGTGTCTAGAGATGTGATTTTCCATGAACACATCTTCCCTTTTGCTATTCTACCTGATTAATCCTCCTCTTTTCCTTTGGTGCTTAATTCTGTCCTTCCTACAGTAGATATGTCACCTCCTGAAGTGCATTCAACTGATTGTGTGTCTAGACCACAATCAGATTCAGCTGACACCTCCCATATAGCCTCACCTGCAGCTACTCCAATAGTATCACCCCCAAGTCACTCTTCATCCTTGCAATCCCCTGTAATTCATTCAACAACTCAAATTCAGAATAATCATGGCCTTAGAAGGTCTACTAGGGAACATCTTTTACCTACATATTTAGAAGACTATGTGTGTCCTTTGCCTAACCTATATCCTACTGTTCACCCTCCATCTACTTCATCTTCTTCTGCCACCACATCTAACTCAGATTCTCCTTTTTCTCTCAATGCCCTTTTCTCCAAAGATCATCATGTCCCTTTCACCTCATTAGCCCCTGATAGTCAGCAGCTTGTGCAAAGTGTTTGCCATGATAGTGAGCCAGGATCTTATGAGGAAGCAGCCTTGAATCCTGCTTGGCAAACAGCTATGTCACAAGAGTTTGAGGCTCTCCATGCCAATCACACTTGGGACCTAGTTCCCTTACCTACAGGGAAGAAACCAATAGGTTGTCGATGGGTGTATAAGATCAAACACAAAGCTGATGGAAGTGTTGTGTCACGACCCGGATTTTCCACCCTCGGGAGTCGTGATGGCGCCTACTAATAGGAGCTAGGCAAGCCAACTTAATTTACTTCTTTTAGCAATTATCGTTCATTTATTGAAAACAAAGCATAATATGATAAAGCGGAAGTCTCAAATATAATTAACTGAAGGAAATGCGGAAGTTTAACAAAACCCGCTACCCAAGACTGGTGTCACAATACTCACGAACGTCTAAAGAATACTAAATACAAGGTTTGAATGAAACATAACACTGTTTGCCTCGGTACAAATGATAACAAACTGAATAAGATAGAAAGGGACTCCGGGCCTGCGAACGTCAGCAAGGCTACCTCGAATGTCCCTGGACTGAAAGCTCGCTCCCAGAATGCTACTGCTACTCAAATGCTGCTCCAACACCTGGATCTGTGCAAAGAGATGCACAGAGTGTAGCATCAGCACAACCAACCCCATGTGCTGGTAAGTGCCTGGCCTAACCCCGGCGAAGTAGTGACGAGGCTAGACGAAAGTACCAGATGAACCTGTGCAGATATATATACAAGTACAACAAAAAAAAATAGCGGAAAGTAAACAATTAAAACTGGGAGGGGAACATGCTTATGGGGTAGCAGATAAAACGGAATATCAGGAATAACAAAGAAACTACATCTGATTTCTTCTAACACAGAATAAGGGAAAACAAACCACTTTCACTTGCTTCAATTTCCTCTCGTTGCAGGCGTACAACTCGATCCCATTTCTCATAATATCACGTGGTAGGCGTACCACTCGATCCCATTTCATAATATCACGTGGTAGGCGTACCACTCGCTCCCATTTCATAGTATCACGTGGTAGGCGTACCACTCGCTCCCATTTCATAGTATCACGTGGTAGGCGTACCGCTCGCTCCCATTTCATAGTATCACGTGGTAGGCGTACCACTCGCTCCCATTTCATAGTATCACGTGGTAGGCGTACCACTCGCTCCCATTTCATAGTATCACGTGGTAGGCGTACCACTCG